TGGAATTCCTCTCGCACATCTTTCACAAAGTGAACATGCCCTTCTTTGACACTGGGTACAGCAACTTTGAGACCAGATTTTTGATCCTGAGCATGTAAAATCACAAGCTTGGGCGGGTGCAGTGGCTCATGCCTGTAATTCCAGTACTTTGGGAAGCTAAAGTGGATGGATCACCTGAAGTCAGGCGTTTGAGACCAGCATGGCCAATATGGTGAATCTTGGCAGTGAGCCAAGATCACGTCACTGCACTCCAGCCTGTGTAACAGAGTGAGACTGTGTTTCAAAAAAAAAAAGAAAGAAAAGAAAATGCCCATCAATAGGGCACTAGTTGAACAAAAGATGGTATATACAATTAAATACCATGCATCGTAGCAAGAACTGAGATAATCACTATGTTCACATATAACATGATCTCCAAGATTAAATGTTAAAAGCAAGGTGTAGAACAATACTTATAATATGCTTACTTTTGTGTGAGAATGGGAGGAAATACAAATTTATAAACAGTTATTGCTTTTACTTATAAAAAACAAAACCAGCCAGGCACAGTGGCTCACGCCTGTAATCCCAGCATTTTGGGAGGCCGAGGCAGGCGGATCATGAGATTAGGGGTTCAAGACCAGCCTGGCCAAGACGGTGAAATCCCATCTTTACTAAAAATACAAAAATTAGCTGTGCGTGGTGGCAGGCGCCTGTAATCCCAGCTACTCGGGAGGCTGAGGCAGGAGAATTGCTTGAACACAGGAGGCGGAGACTGCAGTGAGCCAAGACCGCACCACTGCACTCTAGCCTGGGCAGCAGTGTGAGACTCCATCTCAAAAAACAAAACAAAACAAAAACAAGAAACATTGAAGAATAACCAAAAAACAATAAAAATGGCTACTTATAAGGGAAAAGAAAGACATGGTTACCTAGAGAGAGAAGGAATGAAAGTGAAAATTCTCTGAATATCTCCAGTTACATAGTTTTGAATTTATAATAATGTAAATGTTCTTCTACATTTTCAAAAAAATAAAGTTATTGTAGAAATGCATCCCTAAAAATTAAAACAGAAACGAACTGTGTATCAAGTTGTGCATAACCACACAAAGGATTATTATTATTATCTTTTTTTGTTTTGTTTTAGACAAGGTCTGGTTCTATCACCCAGGCTGGAGTGCAGTGGTGCAATCTCATTTCACTGCAACTTCCACCTCCTGAGCTCAAGCCATCCTCCCACCTCAGCCTCCTGAGTAGCTAGGACTACAGGGAAGCACCACCACGCTCGGCTAACTTTTACAGAAAAGGGATTTTGCCACGTTGGGCAGGCTGGTCTTGAACTCCTGAGTTCAAACAACCTGCCCACCTCGGCCTCCCAAAGTGCTGGGATTACAGGCGAGAACCGCCACGCCCGGTCCAGAGGATTATTTTAAGTGACTTTAGAATATGATATTTTGTCTGTACATCCTTACTAGAAATGTAGTATAATGAGAAATAAAGAGCAGCAAAAAGTCATAAATGCCATTCAGCAGTCTTAGTGTCAGCAGTAATACTGGTATTATGAGAATACCGCCATATTGAAAAATCACTTCCTCTTATGATTAATGCACATTAGGATAGGAATATCCTGTATTGGGATAAAGCAAATATATAGCTGAATCACTGTTGCTAGGAACTGAGGCTTTCAGTGTAGGGAACAGAGATACAAATGTAAAAACAAAGAAACTAAGTACGCTATCCGCAACCTGAATCTGAAGCATCAGAATAAACTGATGATCTTTTTCTTTTCAAAAACATGTCTTTCATAACACTACCCACCCAAAAAGCCTAGGAGCTGTGACAGCCCAGTAGCAAAAAGTATCCCGGAGTCTAGATTGTGGTCTCTAAATGTCATTTCCCATTAAAAGGAACTTGGACTTCTTGAGGAAAAAAACCAATTCCAAGTCGGGATAGGTACTGTGTCACATAAGCCTCAAACATTTTATTCTGCTGAAGAGCAAGAAGTCCAGCTAGCATGGTGGCTCACGCCTGTAATCCTAGCACTTTGGGAGGCTGATGTGGGCGGATCACCTGAGGTCAGGAGTTCGAGGCCAGCCTGGCCAACATGGTGAAATTCCATCTCTACCAAAAATACAAAAATTAGTTGGGTGTGGTGGTGGATGCCTGTAATCCCAGCTATTCAGGATGCGGAGGTTGCAGTGAGCCGAGATTGTGCCCCCTGCACTCTAGCCTGGGTGACACAGCAAGACATGTCTCAAAAAAAGAAGAAAAAAAAAAAGGAAAATCCCCAAAACTCCATATTACAGTCTCCAAATAAATAACGGATTCTGGAAAGATCATTAAAATGAGTGAGAGGTTAACAGAGAATCTTGCAAAACTCTGATCAATCTAGGAATCTCTAAAGGTAGAAAAACCATATACCATGAGCCTCTTGGTGTGACACAATATCAATTAACCAGCACACTGTTTATAAAGTATTCTTCCCAAAGACAGATGAAACTGAATAGGTATTAGGAGATTAACTGTTTAACTTTATAAGTGATATGTACCAATCTTTCCCCAAATATTGTCCAACTTTTTCAGTTTAATCTTTAATCTGAGCCACACAAAATGTTTCTGATCATTGATCATACTCGATATAATGGGTATCATGAAACCTGACCAATTTTCTTATGCTCTCACTCCTATCATTTTTATACTACATTTTTCCTTCACATAATAACTTCACCAAATTATATGAAAATGACAGTGTTCTCTGACAAGATCTCATTTCAAAGTAAAGCCCTGAAATAAAATATATACAGAAGCAATTCTGTATATATAAGGAAATACTAAAGTAAATGTTTGTATTTCTACAAAAATTCTAAATTCTCAGATTTTTAAAAAAGTCCTTCTATTGCAGAAAATATATACAATACAAACATTAACCAAAAGAAAGCTGGTGTAGCTTGAAAACATTATTAAAAATAATGGACATTTCACAATGCTAAAAAAACCAACAAAAATATAAATATTAGGTGCTCCTAATAACACGGTTTCAAACTGTATAATGCAAAAACTGAAAAAAAACAAAAAGAGAAAAAGGCATATCTACAATAAACATAAATAATTTTAAAATATCTGACAGGAAAAAAAAACACACCCAAAAACATACCAAGAATACAGATTAGAACAATACAATCAGAAACCTTATCTGAAGTGAGACCTTGTCTCTAATAAATAAATAAGTAAGCTGGGCATGGTGGTGCACACCTGTAGTATCAGCTACTTGGGAGGCTGAGGTGGGACGATAGCTTGAGCCTGGGAGGTCAAGGCTGCAGTGAGCCATGATCGTGCCCCGGCACTCCAGCCTGGGTGAAAGAGTGAGATTCTCTCTCAAAAAAAAAAACTTTACCAAAAATATCTTTCCATCTGAAATGCTATCCAATCTAACAGTCTCTTTTATTGATAAGTTTTAATCATTAAGTTGGATGTCTAAATACATTCTGAAAGTTTAGAAAAACCAAGTAAGATATCTTCTGTCATGGCTATTGTTCTTAATCTGCCTTGAATAATTCTTCCACCCCAATTTTTTTTTTTTTTTTTTTTGAGGCAGAGTCTTGCTCTGTCGCCCAGGCTGGAGTGCAGCAGCACGATCTCGGCTCACTGCAACCACCACCTTCCAGGTTCAAGCGATTTTCCCGCCTCAGCCTCCCAAGTACCTGGGATTACAGGTGCTTGCCATCACACCCAGCTAATTTTTGTATTTTTAGTAGAGACGGGGTTTTGCCATGTTGGCCAGGCTGGTCTCAAACTCCTGACCTCAGGTGATCCACCTGCCTCAGCCTCCCAAAGTGCTAGCATCCAGTAAACTTCAAGCTTTAAGAAGTCTAGGTTCCTGTGAATTGTGAGAGGAAGTCAGCACTGATTTCAGAAATCTGATTATAACAATAGATCCATTCCTAAATGAGGTGAATCTTGGAATCCCTTCAGTTTTATTTTATTTTATTTTATTGAGACGGAGGTTTCTCATTGCCCAGGCTGAAGTGCAATGTTGCAATCTAGGCTCACTGCAACCTCTGCCTCCCAGGTTCAAGTGATTCTCCTGCTTCAACCTCCCGAGTAGCTGGGATTACAGGCATGCACCACCACGCCCAGCTATTAGTAGAGACGGGATTTCAGCATGTTGATCAGGCTGGTCTGGAACTTCTGACCTCAGTGATCTGCCCACCTCGGCCTCCCAAAGTTCTGGCATTATGGATGTGAGCCACTGTGCACAGCCCCCCTTCAAGTTTAAAACCATCACTGTGCACCCTGTGCCTCTGCTAGGTACTGGAATAAGATGAAGCACCTTCTTGGAGTTTACATGCTGATAATTGTGCCAGACAGTAATAGGTAAGAATGGCTGTGGGGGAAGTCAGCTGTGTTCTAATTACAGTCGCATTTCAGGAAATTATTTAACATGTTGACTTTAACAGCCTAAGCCTCTTCTCCATGTGTGCACACAGGGTAGATCTCTGAAGGGTGGTGCTGTAACTTCTAGGGTAATGGCTGTGTTGAGTCAAGGCAGGATGACAGTTCAGCCTCCTCCCTGCTAGTGCAAAGGGCTCTTCACTCGGATTAAAGCCTTCTTTCCCAGACTGAATTGTCCACCCCCCACACCCCTCCTACAGAAAATGTGGAGTCCTCGCTTATTCCCTGGCAGCCCCTACCTAGTAGGGTGGTGAATTCATTATCAAACATGCAACAGTTTAGCGAAAACGGCAACATTTTGGAATAAATGACTGTAATGTGCGTCGTGCCTGCCACCCTAACTGGCGCCCATTTTGCAGCTCAGTTGCTGTCCCTGAAAGGAAGAGTATGCTTGGATTTCACCTTGGAGGAGGAAGAGTTCAGGCTGCCACAACTGGACTAGCACTTCTGAAGATCCCAAGGCGAGGTCCCATGACCCCACCCCACCACACCACAGCAGGCTGCTGGAGTCCTGGGACCACCTGGGTCTGTGGCCCAAATCCTTCCTCCCTAAGGGGAGGGAAAGGGGTGTTCCAGCCGGGCGGGGTGGGAAGGGGTGTTAGGGCGGGATTGTGACATAAGATTGCCCTGGTGACATGGAGCAGATCTGGACCCAAGCCTAATAAAGGTGGCATAAATAAAGGTGTCATAAAGACAGGGCGGGGCACATGCTTGTAAGAGGCACGAGCATCTTAGGGTTGCCAGAATGACTCCCGCTCAGTGCGCAGCACTCATGTGTGTCATGTTCTGGCTGCGTTTCTGGGGCCCATGGCCCCTCCTCACATGGCAACTATTGTGTCTACTAGTCAAGGAGACTCAGCCTCTGGAGTGGGTCAAGGACCCACTCCAGCTGACCTCTAACCCCCTGGGACCGCCTGAGCCCCGGTCTTCCCGCTCCTCCCATCTCCCATGGGAATCTCCCCATGCGCCCACTCCCCCGGCAGACCCGGGGGACTTTGATTACCTGGGGCCCTCTGCTTCCTCGCAGATGTCAGCCCTGCCCCAGGAATCGACTGAAAATTTGGTTCCATTCCTGGACACGGATTCAGCTGAAGAGCTGCCCCTGGGGCCAGAGCAGTTCTCCGCTGCACACCAGGATTTAAATGACAAGCTGACTCCGGAAGAAAGGCTCCCAGAGGTGGTCCCACTGCTGGACGGGGATCAGAATCAGACCCTAGTTCAGCTTCCTCGCCTCAAAAGTAAGTTTCCAACTGCAGATCTAGATCGGGCTGCAGGTCATCAGGCAGATGAAATACTTGTTCCGCTAGACAGTAAGATTTCAAAACCAACCACATTTATTGTTTCGCCCAAGAACCTGAAGAAAGATCTAGCTGAGCGTTGGAGCCTTGCTGAGATTGTTGGAATTCCACACCGATTATCCAAACCTCAGCGTGAGAAACAGACTTTGCAGGATGAATATTCGAGTATGGACACACTGTATCCCGGCGGCCTGCCTCCAGAACTCCGGGTGAACTCAGATGAGCCTCCAGGGCCCCCTGAGCGAGTTGGACTTTCTCAATTCCATCTAGAGCCGGAAACTCAAAATCCAGAGACCCTTGAACACATCCAATCCTCTTTACTCCAGCAAGAAGCCCCAGGGCAGCTTCCACAGCTCCCTGAGGAGGAAGAACCTTCTTCTACCCAGCAGGTGGCCCCAGCTCTGCCTCCAGCATCCTCTATGGAAAGTCTAACTCTACCAAATCGTGAGGTGACAGTTCAGCCTCCAGGTGAGGATCAAGCTCATTATAACTTGCCTAGCATTATAGTTAAACCTGCAGATGTGGAGGTTCCCATGACTCCAGAGGCTGAAAACGAGACAGAATCTTCTGAAGTCCAGCAGGAGTCCCCAGGTCAGCCTCCAGAGGAGGTGGAACCTTCTGCAACCCAACAGGAGCCCCCAACTGAGCCTCCAGGTCCTCCTGTGGAGCCTGAACTTTCCCCCAGTGAGCAGGAGCAGCCAGCTCAGCCTTCTGAGTCTTCTGGGGAGGTTGAATCTTCTCAGACCCAGCAGGAGACCCCAGCTCAGCCTCCAGAAGAGACAGAACCTTCGGCAATCCAGGAAGAGGCCCCAACTGAGCTTCCAGGTCCTCCTATAAAGGCTGAACTTTCCCCCAGTGAGCAGGATCAGCCAGCTCAGCCTTCTGAGTCTTCTGGGGAGGTTGAATCTTCTCCAGCCCTGCAGGAGACCCCAGCTCAGCCTCCAGAACATCATGAAGTCACAGTTTCACCTCCTGGTCACCATCAGACTCAGCATTCAGATATGCCCAGTGTCTCTGTTAAGCCTCCAGATGTGCAGCTCACCATAGCAACAGAGCCTAGTGCAGAGGTGGGAACTTCTCCAGTCCTCCAGGAGGCTACAGCTCAGCTTTCAGGGCCAGGTAATGATGTAGAACCTCCCACCATCCAGCACGGGGGCCCACCTCTGCCTCCAGAGTCACTGGAAGAGGCTGGACCTTTAGCAATTCAACAGGAGACTTCAGTTCAATCTCCGGAATCTATTAATAATGAGAACCCCTCTCCAACCCAGCAGGAGGCTGCAGCTGAGCATCCACAGACCGCTGAGGAGGGTGAGTCTTCTCTAACCCAGCAGGAGGCCCCAGCTCAGACTCCAGAGCTCCCTAATGTAGTTGTAGCTCAACCTCCAGAGCATTCAAACCTGACTCAAGCCACAGTTCAACCTTTGGACCTGGGACTTACCATCACTCCAGAATCCGTGACAGAGGTTAAACTTTCTCCAACCATGCAGGAGACCCCAACTCAGCCTCCCAAGAAAGTTGTATCCCAACTTCCAGTACATCAAGAGATAACAATTCCAACACCAGGTCAGGATGAAGCTCAGCATCCAATGTCACCCAGCATTACAGTTCAACCTTTGGACCTGGGACTTACCATCGCTCCAGAACCCACTACGGAGGCTGAACATTCTACACCCCTGAAGAAGACTATAGCTCCTCCAAAACATCCTAAGGTGATACTTCCACATCCAGACCAGGTTCAGACTCAGTATTTACACCTGACTCAAGCCACAGTTCAACCTTTGGATCTGGGGTTTATCATCACTCCAGAATCCACAACAGAGGTTGAACTTTCTACTATCCTGATGACTACAGCTCCTCCTCCAGAACACCCTGAGGTGACACTTCCACCTTCAGACCAGGTTCAGACTCAGCATTCACACCTGACTCAAGCCACAGTTCAACCTTTGGACCTAGGGTTTACCATCACTCCAGAATCCCGACAGAGGTTGAACTTTCTCAACTCATGCAGGAGACCCCAACTCAGCCTCCTAAGAAAGTTGTACCCCAACTTCTAGTACATCAAGAGGTAACAATTCCAACACCAAGTCAGGATGAAGCTCAGCATCCAATGTCACCCAAGCGTCACAGTTCAACCTTTGGACCTGGGACTTACCAACACTCTAGAACCCACTGCTGGAGGTTGAACTTTCTACAGCCTGACGACTACAGCTCCTCCTCCAGAGCCTGAGGTGACACTTCAGCTCCTCCTCCAGAACACCCTGAGGTGACACTTCCACCTTCAGACAAGGGTCAGGCTCAGCATTCACACCTGACTCAAGGCACAGTTCAACCTCTGGCCCTGGAGCTTACCATAACTACAGAACCTACTACAGAGGTTAAACCATCTCCAACCATAGAGGAGACCTCAACTCAGCCTCCAGACCCGGGACTTGCCTTAACTCCAGAGCCCACTACAGAGACTGGACATTCTACAGCCCTGGAGACGACTACAGCTCCTCGTCCAGACCAGGTTCAGACTCTGCATCAAAGCCTGACTGAAGTCACAGGTCCACATACTGAACTAGAACCCACTCGGGATTCATTGGTACAGTCTGAAAGTCACGCCCAAAATAAGACTTTAACTGCATCAGAGGAACAGAAGGCCTCCATAAGCACCAACATATGTGAACTCTGTACCTGCGGAGATGAGACACTGTCATGTGTTAATCTCAGCCCAAAGCAGAGGTTCCGCCAAGTGCCTGTGCCAGAGCCCAACACCTACAATGGCACCTTCACCATCTTGTAAGGATCACCTTTCCCCAATTGTCCTCTGTGTCCTGCCTGACGTGGCAGCCTTTTCCTGGAGGCCTTCCTGGCTTTCTTTATCTCCCCATGCCATACTGACAACTGACTTTCTGCTTTCACCTTTGCTTGTCAATTCTCCCTTCTCATTCTCCTTTAATGTTAGGCCCATTCTCCAGTCTTTTACTTTTACTCCAGCTTTTACTCTTACTTGTTTTCTCATCCATTTTTATTTAGCCCCATCACATCATTGCTTAACCGCTGCTCTCCTCCCATTTTTGCTTCACCCTCTTTACAGCAACCTGTCCCTCTCCCGATCTCAGTGATGAGGCTCTAAGTGGTTAAGAGTTGATTCCGGGCCGGGCGCGGTGGCTCAAGCCTGTAATCCCAGCACTTTGGGAGGCCGAGATCGGTGGATCACGAGGTCAGGAGATCGAGACCATCGTGGCTAACACGGTGAAACCCCATCTCTACTAAAAAATACAAAAAACTAGCTGGGCGAGGTGGCGGGCGCCTGTAGTCCCAGCTACTCGGGAGGCTGAGGCAGGAGAATGGCGTAAACCCAGGAGGCGGAGCTTGCAGTGAGCTGAGATCCGGCCACTGCACTCCAGCCTGGGTGACAGAGCAAGACTCCCTCTCAAAAAAAAAAAAAAAAAAAAAAAAGAGTTGATTCCGGAGCCAGGCTGCCTGGGGTTGAACCCAGGTCTGTTTATTAGGTTGGTGACCCAGAGCAAGTTATTCCGCTCTGTGACTCAATTTCCTCACCTTTCAACTGGGGATTATGCTAGTTCCCATTTCATAGGATTGTTGTGAAATGTAGGTGAGTGAATATATGAAACACTTCATCAGTGCCTAGCACATGTAGGAGTGTTGGCTGTTAACATGATTACTCAGTCCTTTAGTTATGTCCACAACTCATCGTTGTCCCTGGCTTTCTATATATGGCACTCGTTTTGTGTCAAACCCAGGGCCAAGTATGCTACTGTCTCCAGAACATGAAAATGATAGGAGGGAAGAAATAGAATAGGCATAAAAAGGGAGGTATATATAATTAATCACTAAAAGAAAATGCATACTGTCGGTACTAGAATTTACCAGAATCTGTGATCCTTGAGGTGCGGAGATCAAGGAAAGCTATATGGATAAGCTAAAACTTTACTTGGGTCTTAAAGACTAGCTGTAATTTGTTAAATAGAAAAAAAATGGGAGTACAGTCTAGGCAAAGGCATGCCTACAGGTATGGTTGGAATTTAGTAGACCGATCTGGCTGCAAAGAATTAGGTGAGGGAGCAATGCAGATATGATTATGTAAAACCTTGACTATCAGCTATAGGAGTTTGAAAGTTACACAGTGAGGTATGGAAAGCCATTGAAAGTTTCCAAACAAGAGAGATTAAATTACTAAAACAGGAGAATTATTTTATTTTGTTTTTTGCTTTATGTTCAAGTGTAGACATGCAAAGGATTATTTTAGAATCCATATGTAGAGCGCCCAAAAGGAATAGCTTATTTCAGGGAGACAACATAGAAAGGTCTCGCAAAACGTAGGAGTAAAGTGTGAAGGGGCCAAATCAGATCGGTTGTAATAAGAGTGGAAAGAAAAAGCCTAGGATGTTTCAGCAGAGGGCAAAGCTTTGGTGCTACCTGGCACAGAGTTTCTTTCTGCTTATTTATTGATAGTGATAAACTTTTGCCCATTTTTCTGTTGAATTATTTACTATTTTTGTGTTGATTTGTAGGAGTTTGTTTAGACACGTAAGTGCTTTTTGATAAAATACTTACATTCAAAGTAATTAACTGGCATCGTCTGTCCAAGAGATGGGACGGATATGAAGTTAAGCTTCCAGGAGATGCCTCATCATTTGTGCCAGTGGCCCCGCATTGTTTCTTGATGAATTGTGCAAACTGGGAAGCTGATAGCTCTGGAAATGAGAAAGCAGGTGTTATTTTCTGTAACTGAATATCCCTGACAAGGTTGCCACGATTCTTTTACTTATCCTGTTCATTCTTTTCCTACCTATTCAAGGATATAAACTGTGTTTCTTCACAGAAATTTCCAAGGAAACTATATTCCTCACATTGATGGAAATGTATGGAAAGCATACAGTTGGACCGAGAAACTGTGAGTATATATTCTCTCTGAATATGACAAAAAACTAACTGCATTGTAAGATCCTTCTTGGTCCAGAATTTTGAGGTCAATACCTCTGAAAAAAGATATTTCCCCTCCATTCCCCAAATCAGCCTCTGTTGATTGCAATCCTATGGTTATTTTAAAATTAAATTTGGTAGGCTCTCTTTAAGAGGCAACTTAAATTTATGTATCATACAAATAATACATGGTTATATTCTCTTTTTTCCTCTTTTTTTTTTTCAGAGTCAGGATATTACTTTGTCCCCCAGGCTGGAGTGCAGTGGCACAATTACATCTCATTGCAGCCTTCGCCTCCCAGCCTCAAGCGATCCTCCCACCTCAGCCTCCCAAGTAGCTGGGACCACAGGTGCATGCCACCACGCCCACCCAATTTTGTATTTTTTGTAGAGACAGGGTCTTCCCATGCTGCTTAGGCTGGTCTTGAACTCCTGAGCTCAAGTCCTCCTCTCACCTTGGCCTCCTAACATCCTCATATTACAGGCATGAGCCACTACCCCCAGCCTGATTCTATTTTTAATGTATAAAAATGGAATAACAGGTATAACAAAAACCCTCCTTGTGCCCTACTCCCTCATCCCTGAGGTAGTGCTACTCTGTATTTAGTGTATATCCTTCCAGACTTTTTCCCATTTGCCTACATACATATTTACATAAAGCAAAATAGATTTGCTGTGTGATTTTAAAAATCTTTTTCCTTTACATAAATGGTAACATCTTGTAATTTGATTCTTTCACTTCATGATATGCCTTAGATTTGTTTCTTTCCCAGTACTCAGATGGTCACCCCATTCATTTAAACTCCTGAATCATCCATAGTCTGGATGCATCATAGTTTATTTAATAATTCCCCCATTGATGAATGTTTAGATTATGCTTAGTTTTCTTGTTACATGCATTGCTGCAGTGAAATCCCTGTACATGCTTCTTTGTGAACATGGGCAAGTATTCCTGTAGCATAGATATCTAGAAATGGAATTGTTGAAGTGAAGACTATGTAGATATAAAATTTTAATTGCCCTCAAAAATGTTGTGCCAACTTACTCTAAGCTGGAGAATACCCAGCGGTGAAAAGGTGTGGGGAGATGACATCATTCATTTCCCCACACCTTTTCACCACTGGGTATTCTCCAACTTTTTGTTGCTGTTATGGATGAATAAAAGGGATTCCACCTAAATTTGAATTTTTCTGATTACTCATGAATTTAATTAAATATCATTATATGTTTATGGAACATTTCTGTTTCTTCTCTGAGTTTTCTATCCTTTGTTCTTTTTCCTGTTGAATTGTTTTATCCTTTTCTTACTGATTTGTAGAAGGAATTGATTTAGACACAAATGATTTTGGAAAAAATGCTTACATTCGAAGTAACTGGCATTTTTCACAACAGTTTGTGTGTCACATTACCAGTTCAACTTATATAGACAAGCCATACATGAGTTCTAAATTAAAAATAAAACACATGCTAGGTGTGGTGGCTCATGCCTGTAATCCCAGCACCTTGGGAGGTCTAGGCAGGTGGATCACCTGAGGTCAGGAGTTTGAGACCAGCCTGGCCAATATGGTGAAACCCCATCTCTACTAAAAATGCAAAAATTAGGCAGGTGTGGTGGTGGGTGCCTGTAATCCCAGCTACTTGGGAAGCTGAGGCAGGAGAATTGCTTTATTTATTTTTTGAGACCTAATTTTGTTCTTGTCGCCCAGGCTGGAGTGCAATGGTACGATCTTGGCTCACTGCAGCCTCCACCACCTCCACCTCCTGGGTTCAAGCGATTCTCCTGCCTCAGCCTCCCGGGTAGCTGGAATTACAGGTGCCCGCCACCATGCCCAGCTAATTTTTATATTTTTAGTAGAGACAGCGTTTCACCATGTTGACCAGGCTGGTCTTGAACTCATGACCTCAGGTGATTCACCTGCCTTGGCTCCCCAAAGTGCTGGGATTACAGGTATGAGCCACCACGCCAGGCCAGAGCTACATTTTAAAAGCAAGGCAATTATTACAAAAGTCAGGATAGTTGTTACCTAATTTGGGTTAGAGAGAGGGATTTGATTGGAAAGGGGCACACTGGGGCTTCTGGGATGCTAGCAATGTTCTTTTGTAACAATATGGGTATCTCCTTTTTAATTATTAAACTGAATATTTGGCCAGGTGAGGTGGGTCATGTCTGCAATCGCAACACTTTGGGAGGCAGAGACAGGAGGATCACTTGAGCCAGGAGTTTGACACCAGTCTGGGTACAGAGTGAGACCCTGTCTCAGAAATTAAATTAAATAAAATACAAAGAACATTGATGTCCTGTACACGGTATGCACATTGTAGTTCTCACATTTTTTTTTGATGGGGGTAAAAGGTTGAATGGCTTCACTTGCAGCCCTGACATGGTTCCATGTGGGGCTTTCATTAGGTTTGGGAAAAGAGGAGAAAATGGAAGTGCTGCTGATCTTGGTGCCACCCAGAGGTGGATTCTAAGAGGGACTTTGGGACCTAGAGAGGAGGCAGTTTGGTGGGAAGAGTGGGTAGGGGTGTGCTTGTGTGTGTGTGCGCTTTCCTGTGTGTGCCTGTGTTTGTGTGTGTGTGTGTGTGTAGTGGTGGACAGAGATGGACACAACAAGAAAAATGTAAGGAAAGATTTGAATGAAAGCAGAGCAGATACCACCGTCTTGAGATGACCATGACCCAGCTTTCCCCCACATGCAGGACATAGTCCTGTGCGGCAAATAGTTGTACTTTGCATTTTAATCTAGAAATAACTTGTTCATTTTCCAGAATTCTCAATGAAAATTATTTGACTGAATTACATAAGGATTCATTTGAAGGCCTGCTATCCCTCCAGTATTTGTAAGTTAGTTAATCACATTTATCAGTTTTTAGTCGTATTATCTGTAAAATGAATAAGGGGTTCAAATTAGATAATCTCTAAGATTTCTTCCAGCAATAAAATTCTGCAATTCTGTAGGTTTGTATAGGGTCTCAGCCCATCTCTAGCATTAGCTATGTCCTGTGCATTTTCAGTTTTTAAATTATATAGACAAAATGCAGACAGAAAAAAGTTTCACATGGTAATAAGATCTGAGCAGTGACTGACACCCGTATGAACCTTGTTTTATAAGGGTTCACACACCATCTTCTATTCAGTCTACAACCAATAGATCAAATCTAATCTATGGTCTATTTTTAAATAGCCCATTAAGTTAAGAATGGTTTCTGCATTTTTAAAGGACTATGAAAGTAAAAGAAAAGAAAGAGAAATATGCAAGAGAGATCACATGTGGCCCACAAAGCCTAAAATATTTACTGTCTTTCACAAAAAAAGATTTGAAAAAGTTGGTTTAGTAGGATGAAAGGAATTAAAGTTAACTTCAGATTGTTACCTAAAGGAGAAGAAAATATAGACCACCTACATTCATTTGAACATCATTAATCCAGAAATTTTTGGTAATTTAATATGAATTAAAATAACAGTAAATATTAAAAATCAGCTGAATTGTATAAATAATAGATCAAGAATATTAAGCTACCAATAGAATAGACTGGTATTAAGGGTTTCATTTCAGGAATTGTTATATGAAAACAGATGTTTAAAATGATGGTTAAGTGGTAGAGCTAGAAATGTTTACACTAAGAAGCATACCAGAAATGCCCCTAACTCTTCACCAATTACAAAATAACTGTCTCCCCAGCCCTGTTACCAAGAAAGGGATACCTGCATAGTATTTCTGTCTGTTTAGAGACAAGAAGATACTATGTTCATTGCTATGGAAGCTTGATTCTTATCCTTTGTCCATAGAGGTGTGTATGTCATTAATCCTTATTAAGCTCATTAGTGATGCTGTTTTGCAAACAGATTCTTTCAAATGTAGAGGAATTAAGGCAAGTGGATATAAAGACCCTCAAGTGGATGCCAAAGTGCTACAGTGGCCATGAAGTAATAAAACTACATTTCCTTTAAAATAGTCATTTTCCTTCTACTCCCCCAGTTATTCATTTATTTAACAAATATTTGAATTTGCTTTATTTCCATGTGTCAGTTTTAAACATGGTGGGTGATGCAGATGAGCAAAACCTAGTCCATGCTTGCAAGGAGTTTATGCTCAGAAGAAATGGTATAAAAAATAACTACGTTAAAAAGAAGAAATGGATGTGGGCATGAGGAGGGATACATTGTTTCTGGAGCATAGAAAAGGGGAAAATGCCTTCAGTCTGGACCCAGGAAGATGTTACTAGAACAATGCCATTTGAATAGGACTTTGAAGGGCCATTGTGTAACATCGGACAGACATCTTAGGGAAAATATTCTAAACTTGCAAAAGGAAAATGGGAGAAGGGCAAATCATAGGAAAGTGTTCGAGGAATGCCATGAGTACCTGTAGAGTACAAGGAGGGAGAGTAGGAAATTGGAACCAGATCTTCTAGGGCTTTGAATGCCCAGCTGAGGAACCATCATGGGGAACTGTGTTACCGCAGCAGTGCTGTAGATAGATCTGCATCACAATCACTGAGAGGGCGCGTTAGAACTCAGTTCCGGACTCTGCCCTCGTGGTTACTGATTCAGTTGGTCTAGAGTGGGACCAAGAATTTGCATCTACAATAATTTCCCAGGAGATGCTGGTCTTTGCAAACCACTTGTGGAGAGTTTATCTGATGATTGTGTGCAGGATAGTTTAGGAAGGGAGAGACTAGAGATGGAGACATCAACCAGACAGTGTTACACCATCCAGGTAAAGAGGGAGGGACCAGTCCCATCACTGTATAACTGAAGAAATTGCTTTCATGAAATATTAAAGCAATATAAAACCAAAAATGAGTTTCTATTAATATGATAGAAATTGATCTATGAATATGATTTGAATTAGTTCAAAGTTATGTGTTAGTTAAAGGGGTAACTTCCTTTCAAATGATGTGAAAGGATGTCTTTTATTTCTTCTGATACTGAACTGGCTTAGGAAAACAGACCTAAACTAGGAAGGTGTATAAATGTGAGACTATTTTTTTTAGTATTAGAAACTATATGTAAAAACTTTGAGCTCATAATCTAGGATTTGATGAGACTACAAAAGGGCATCTAATCAAGTCTGCTGCTCTCAGGAAAAATTCATTCCAAAGTCTATTAAGATGTATATTCTATTTATGAAAACCATGAAGGTGAGACTCTAGGAGAGATATGGGCAGGGTTAGGGGCTCTGGAAAGTTCAAACACAAGTCGAGACATTTAGAGTTGAGATGAAAAATGTGTATTCAATATTATTCTAAACTCTTACTATTACTCATACTAATCAACCTCTAATAACTAATCAAGGCAATATTTTTCTTTTACTTTTTCCTAGAGATTTATCCTGCAATAAAATACAGTCTATTGAAAGACATACATTTGAACCACTACCATTTTTGCAATATATGTAAGTTACAAATATAACTTGATTACATTTGGAATTTTTATAGAACTTAATTATAAACCTCTTTGAAATACGATTAAAATTTTACCAGTAGGAAGCTACTAAAATTATATAGCAAATCCTTTTTGTCTCTAGCAAAGATTAGTGTGAAAATTACAAAGATCATAGTGAATCATGAGAAAGCAGTGGTTCTCAACTGGTGTGATTTTGTACTCAGGTGACATTTGGTAATGTCTGGATACAGTTTTGGTTGACAAAACTGTGGGTGTGCTCCTGGCATCTAGTGGGTAGAGGCCAGGGATGCTGCTAAACATCCTCCAAGGTACAAGACAAATGCCCACAGCAAACAGTTACAGAGTCCAAAATGTCGATGGTAATGAAGTTGTGAAACCCTGTTCTAGAGAAATAAAGATCACTTATCACAGGTATTTACTGAGCATTCACTGTTTTGTAGCTAATGCACCACATGTGCAATGCTAAAGTATAAATCATAAGCCAGTATCTTCCACAGTGAGATTTCCTTAGTGCATAGAGAAAAGATTAGGGTTATGTTCCATCCTATATAAATTAGAATCACAGCAAATGATAAATGTTCTGAAATTTTTTTTTTCTTTTGGCTTGTGTCTTTTTTTGTAGAAATCTTGGTTGCAATTTACTCACAGAACTGAGCTTTGGAACATTTCAGGCCTGGCACGGAATGCAGTTTTTATACAAGTTGTAAGTGAAATAGAAGATGAATACATGTAAACAACTATTTATGTATAAAAATACATACAATTATTGGTTAGCTGGGTACAATTCCATTATGAACTCTGAAAAGGACGTCTTAAGATCCATTCATGGCCGGGCGCGGTGGCTCAAGCCTATAATCCCAGCACTTTGGGAGGCCGAGACGGGCGGATCACGAGGTCAGGAGATCGAGACCATCCTGGCTAACACAGTGAAACCCCGTCTCTACTAAAAATACAAAAAACTAGCCGGGCGAGGTGGTGGGCGCCTGTAGTCCCAGCTACTCCGGAGGCTGAGGCAGGAGAATGGCGTAAACCCGGGAGGCGGAGCTTGCAGTGAGCTGAGACCCGGCCACTGCAGTCCAGCCCGGGATACAGAGCAAGACTCCGTCTCAAAAAAAAAAAAAAAAAAAAAAAAAAAAAAAAGATCCATTCATTTTTCTCAAATGGGGAAACAAAGGTACAAAGAGGCCAAGAGACTTACATAGCTTATATATGACTTGCTCTGCTTGTGCTAGTTCTGACCTTTGGCATGGGCAAGAAAAGGCATCAAACAAGTGACCCTCAAATTAGCCTTGTTGCTGGGTAGGGTGGCTCAGGCCTGTAATCCCAGCACTTTGGGAGCCACATGTTCTCACTTATAAGTGGGAGCTATACATTGAGTACATATGGACAAAGAAAAGAACAACAAGTACCGGGGAGCTGTTGTTCCCGTGACAGGTGGGAGGAGGGTGAGAATCAAAAAGCTACCTATTGTGTACTATGCTTATTACCTGGGTGACAAAATAATCTGTACACCAGACCCCTGTGACATGCAATTTACCTGTATTAGAAACCTGCACATGTACCCCTAAACCTAAAATAAAAGTTATAAAAAATAAATGAAGGCTGGGCATGGTAGTGGCTCATGCCTGTAATTCCAGCACTTTGGGAGACCAAGGTTGGTGGATCATCAGAGGTCAGGAGTTCGAGACCAGCCTGACCAACGTGGTGAAACCCCGTCTCTACTAAAAATACAAAAATTAGCCGGGCATGGTGGCAGGTGCCTGTAATCCCAGCTGCTCAGGGGGCTGAGGCAGGAGAATCGCTTGAACCCGGGAGACGGAGGTTGCAGTGAGCTGAGGTCATGCCATTGCACTCAAGCCTGGTGATAGAGCGAGACTCTGACAGAGATGGAGTTTTACCACGTTGGTCAGGCTGGTCTGGAACTCCTGGCCTCAGATGATCCACCCGCCTTGGCCTCCCAAAGTGCTGGGATTACAGGCATGAGCCACCATGCCTGGCCAATAAATGGAAATGTTGACTCAAAAGAAGGAAGGGAGGGAGGGAAATGAAGAAAGAAAGATAAAGAAAGAAAAGAAAAATGTAAAAACCCGTAAAGTAAACCCTTTTTCTTCCTACAGATTAAGCACATGAGTTCAGATTACAGCTTTGCTTCTTTTTTCTTTCTTTCTTTCTTTCTTTTCTTTTATTTGGTGGTGGGGGATCGAGTTTTGTTCTTATTGCCCAGGCTGGAGTGCAGTGGCACGATCTTGGCTCACCGCAACCTCCTCCTCCCAGGTTCAAGCGATTCCCCTGCCTCAGCCTCCTAGTAGCTGGGATTACAGGCATGTGCCACCACACCCGGCTAATTTTGTATTTTTAGTAGAGATGGGGTTTCTCTATGTTGGTCAGGCTGGTCTTGAACTCCCGACCTCAAGTGATCTGCCTGCCTCAGCCTCCTACAGTGCTAGGATTACAGGCGTGAGCCACCGCACCCGGCAGTTTAGCTTCTTAATAGCTTGGTGACCTAGGACAAGTTGTGTAACCTCAGTTTCCTCATTTATAAAATAGGGCAATAATATCTAGCACATAAGGTTGTTGTGAGGATTAAATGTGAAATACCGATCACAAACACCTAGCAGCCCAATAGATACTCACTGTAATAATTATTATTTTTATAATTTCTGCAATAGTGATGATTCTTGGGTTAATGTAAAGGCTGATTTTCTTTTATTTCTTCCTGTTTCTTTTCTTTTTCTTGTTCACTTAAAAGAATTAAAAAGAAAATAGGGCCGGGCGCGGTGGCTCAAGCCTGTAATCCCAGCACTTTGGGAGGCCGAGACGGGCGGATCACGAGGTCAGGAGATCGAGACTATCCTGGCTAACACGGTGAAACCCCGTCTCTATTAAGAAATACAAAAAAAACTAGCCAGGCGAGGTGGCGGGCGCCTGTAGTCCCAGCTACTCGGGAGGCTGAGGCCGGAGAATGGCGTGAACCCAGGAGGCGGAGCTTGCAGTGAGCTGAGATCCGGCCACTGCACTCCAGCCTGGGCGACAGAGCGAGACTCCGTCTCAAAAAAAAAAAAAGAAAAAAAAAAGAAAATAGATTGCAGCATTTTGGAATAAAAAATCCCATCGAAATGAATGTATTCATTTTATTGACATATAAACAAAATGTCATTTGTTTATTCAATAAACTTTTTTTTTTTTTTTTTTTGAGACAGTTTTGCTCTTGTTGCCCAGGCTGGAGTGCAGTGGTGCGATCTTGGATCACGACAACCTCCACCTCCCAGGTTCAAGCGATTCTCCTGCCTCAGCCTTCCCAAGTAGCTAGGATTACAGGCATGCACCACCAAACCCAGCTAATTTTATATTTTTAGTAGAGGTGGGGTTTCTCCATGTGGGTCAGGCTGGTCTCAAACTCCCGACCTCAGGTGATCTGCCCACCTCAGCCTCCCAAAGTGCTGGGATTACAGGCATAAGCCACCATGCCCGGCCCAATAAACATTTATTAAATGCCTAGTAAATTTCAGACATCATGCCAGGCACAGGGATGACAATGAGAATCAGATGTGGTCTCTGCCCTCAAGGAGCTGATAGTCCAGGAGACTGACAAGTAAGACAGGTGATTACATGCAATGTAACAAAGGCTGTGATGTCATACAAGAAGACAAGTGGGAGTATATGATGGGAGTATGGTTTTGACCCGTTCCTTCTCTTAGATTTATCCCTTTGTCTTTGGCTATAAAGCAAAAGAATTGGTCCTATTTTTTTCCTTAACTGTGCAGATTAAACCATGAATTTAAAAAACTTTGCAAAGATAAAAGGCAAGGTCAGGCACAGTGGTTCACACCTGTAATCCTAACACTTTGCTAGGCTGAAGGGAGTGGATCACCTGAGGTCAGGAGTTCAAGACCAGCCTGGCCAACATGATGAAACCCAGTCTCTACTAAAAATACAAAAATTAGCTGGGAGTGGTGGCGGGCACCTGTAATCCCAGCTACTCAGGAGGCTGAGACAGGAGAATCGCTTGAACCCAGGAGGTGGAGGTTGCAATGAGCCAAGATAGAGCCATTGCTGTCCAGCCTGGGTGACAGAGCAAGACTCCATCTCAAAAAAACAAAACAAAACAACAACAACAACAAAAAAAATGAACAACTTGAATTATGGACAAGCAACCTGAATTATGGCGGACACTAGAAATAGTGTTTCCTACAGAGTCGGGGCTTCCTACCAACATAGTCACTTCTAGGGTTTTTGACCTGAAAAATTCTGTGGCATATTTTTTCTTTGCTATCCACTTTTTTTAATTTTTTCTGTTTCTTTCCCTGTTTCTCTCCTCTACTTTATCTTCTAGAGATCTAGGTAGTTCCCAAAGGAATAGTGCTTTATGAAGTTTAATGGTGATTTATTAGGTAAAAACAGAAAATGATTTTTTTTTTACCTACAAGTTCCATACCAAAAAATGAATATAAACTTTTTATGCAATTTCACACTTTGAAAATGCAGATAATTTTAATTCTATTGCATTTTTCAGAATTCTCAATCGCAATCCTCTGACAACTGTTGAAGATCCGTATCTCTTTAAATTGCCGGCATTAAAATATTTGTAAGTATAGTACTTTCATGAGTCATGAGATGATTTATGCTCTTTTTAAATTTTTCATCAAAGATTAAATATTTTGCATTTAGGCTAAAAAGTCATAATTTAAATTTTAACTGAGTTATTGAAAAAAGTTATTGGCAAAGAAAAGGATTAAGAAAGGATGTGTAATGGTCAAGACAGCCAGTAGGGGAAGAGAACAGTGTTGAAGAACCTGTATAGATTTAGAACATGTAGACACATGGAGGAATATTACTTAACCAAGAAAGCAAAGAAGAATAGGTGTTCATTAGTCTAAAAAGGAAGAAAAGCATAAATAATCAAGATGGGTGAATGCAATATGAAATGAGAAGTAAGATAAATGGTAAAAAAAAAAAAAAAAAAAAGTGTGAGTTCTATTCTTGAATATCATTAATTTGATGATGCAAATCAAATTTCTTTAATAAGAGGTCTCTGGAATTCTGCGGCAAATAAACTGTTGAGCTGGCTTGTTTATAGAGAAGCCAATATTGAAGTAATCACATGTCTTTGAATTATCTTTTTAAGTACAGAATTTTTTATTGGGGTTCATATCATGAATGTTTCGGCTTTCTTCTTCAGAGACATGGGAACAACTCAAGTCCCACTTGCAACACTTAAGAACATTCTCACGATGACTGTTGAACTGGAAAAACTGTAAGTTATTTTTTTCTTATATTTTTACTTAATTGGTTCTTTAGGTTTGTTTTATTATTTTTTAAAGTCAGGTTTATTGATATATAATTTTCATTTAATTCACCCTTTTTAAGGGTACAGTTTGATGAGTTTTGACAAATGTATAGTTACATAACCTCCACCACATTCCCAATATAAAGCATTTCTGTTGCCTCAAAAAGGCCCCTTGTATCCCTTTGTAGTCGATCCCCTCCCCCCACCATCAGCCCCTGTTAGCTACCAATCTGATTTCTGTTCCTATACTTTTGCCTTTTCCAGAATGTCTTATAAATGAAATCATATAGCGTGTCGCCTCTTGTGTTTGGCTTCTTTCACTTTGCTTTTTTTTTTTTTTTTTTTTGAGATGGAGTCTCGCTGTCACCCAGGCTACAGAGCAGCGGCATGACCTAGGCTCACTGCAACCTCCGCCTCCCAGGTTCAAGCGATTCTCCTGCCTCAGCCTCCCGAGTAGCTTAGGTTACAGGTGCATGCCACCACGCCCAGCAAATTTTTGTATTTTTAGTAGAGACAGGGTTTCACTATGTTGGCCAGGCTGGTTTCGAACTCCTGACCTCAAGTGATCCACCCACCTCGGCCTCCCAAAGTGCTTGGGTTACAGGTGTGAGCCACCACACTCGGCCCAGCAGATTCTTTTTTTTTTTTTTTTTTTTTTTTTTAGACAGGGCCTCGTTGCTGGAGTGCAGCAGCAAGATCTCAGCTCACCGCAACCTCTGCCTCCCAGGTTCAAACGATCAGCCTCCTGAGTAACTGGGATTATAGCCTCGCACCACCACACCCAGCTAATTTTTGTATTTTTAGTAGAGATGGGGTTTCTTCTTGTTGGCCAGGCTGGTCTCAAACTCCTGGCCTCACTTGATCCACCTGCCTTGGTCTCCCAAAGAGCTGGGATTACAGGCGTAAGCCACCACGCCTGGCCCGGTCCAGCAGATTCTTATATTTCAGTTTTTAAAGAAATGTTTGCCTTTCTACTGCTTGATGTGTAGTGGAATCTCATTGTGGTTTTAATTTGCATTTATTTAATAGCTAGTGATGTTGAATATTCATGTGCAAATATCTTCTTTACTAAATTGTTCAAATCTGTTCCCATATTTTAATTGGATATTAGTCTTTTTATTGAGGTTTTTTTTCCTGTAACCCCATGAGAGATTCATTATTATTGAATTTTAAGAGTGCTTTATAGAGTCTAGATAACAGGTCCTTTCAGGGACCAGGTACAGTGGTCCCTGCACATTGGGAGGCTGAGGCAGGAGGACTGCTTGAGGTCAGGAGTTTGAGACCACCTGGGCAATATGGTGAAACCTCGTCTCTACCAAAAATATAAAAATCAGTCAGGTGTGGTGGTGCTCACCTGTGGTCCCAGCTACTCAGGAAGCTGAGGTGGGAGGATTGCTTGAGCCAGGAGGTCAAGGCTGCAGTGAGCTGTGATCACCACTGCACTCCAGCCTGGGTCACAGAATGAGATACTATCTCAAAAGTTAAACAAGTAAATAAAACAAAAAACAAGGCCTTTTAGATATGTGTTTGGTAAATATCTTCTCTCAGGTTGTGGTTTGTCTTTTCATTCTAAATATTTTCTAGCTGGGCACAGTGACTCACACCTGTAATCCCAGCACTTTGGGAGGACAAGGCAGGTGGATCACTTGAGGTCAGGAGTTCGAGACCATCCTGGCCAACGTGGCAAAACCCCCATCTCTACCCCCATCTCTACAGCCAGGTGTGGTGGCACACGCCTGTAATCCCAGCTACTCAGGAGGCTGAGGCACAAGAAGTGCTTGAACCTGGGAGGTGGAGGTTGCAATGAGCCAAGATTGCACCACTGTACTCCAGCCTGAGCAACAGAGTGAGACTCTGTCTCAAAAAAAAAAAAAAAAAAATTAATAATAATAATTAAACTAAAAGTGTTTTCTGAAAAACAGAAGTTTTTAATTTTGATCAGCTTTAAGTTAGCAATTTTTTCTTATATGGTTTGTGCTTTTTTGTTTTTTACCTAAGAAATCTTTAAGAACCTGTTGTCTAATCCAAAGTGGAAAAGATTTACTCCTATGTCTTCTCCCAGAAATACTATAATTTAGGTCTATGATCCGTTTTTAGTTAATTTGAATATATGGTGTGAGGTATGTATTTTTTTTTTTTTTTTGGCAATTGTATATTTATTTTTTGGAGAAACGAGGTCTCACTATGTTGCCCAGGCTGGTTTCAAACTCCTGGCCTCAGTGATCCTCCTGCCTCACCCTCCCAGAGTACTGGGATTACAGGCATGAGGCACCGTGCCTGGCCTTCTTTGCAGTTATATATATATACAGATATGTGTGTACGGTGTGTGTGTATATATATATATGTGTGTGTATATATATATATGTGTGTGTATATATGTGTATGTGTGTATGTGTATATATGTGTGTGTGTATATATATATCTCAGCCAGGTGTGGTGGCACATGCCTGTAGTCCCAGCTACTAGGGAGGCTGAGGTGGGAGGGTCACTTGAACTCAGGAGGTGGAGGTTGCAGTGAGCCAAGATGGCACCACTGCACTCCAGCCTGGGTGACAGAGCAAGACGTTGTCTTAAAAAAAAATTATATATATATGTGTATATATGTGTGTATATGTGTGTATATATATGTGTGTGTGTATATATATGTATATATTTCTGCAGGGCCCTACTGTGAGTTTGTTACACAACTGACTGCAACTTAAATAGTGCCACCACCCCACAATATGGCAAACTAAATAGAAACTCTGTTTTGCTAAGGCTGGTTGAGGGCAGTATGCAAGATTAGCATGGAAAGGGCCCTTCATTTCACACTCTGTTAATTTTTGTCAGGTCACTTTCTTATCTTGACCACATTGTCAGATCTGTTTTACTGCTCTAGCCTCACTTCCCTCAGCCTCCTGCAGCATCTTCCCTGTCAGCTAGATCCCTTCCTCTCTGGATGAAGTCCTCTTCATCGACCAGCTTTCTCACTTGGTTCTCTAAGACAGTGAGGATCTGTCTGCTTTTTTCTTGACCATTAGTGGATAGGAAAAAAGCTCTCATTCTCTGTAACCATTTGTCACTGAGGCCATAAAGACATTGAACTAACTGCCTTATGGGAGTTCATTACTGGAAGTCTTCAGGAGTTTACACATTGATATACAAAGTAAGTAGGCCAGTGCATTTGAGTCTTGGCTCATGTGTAATGATCTTTAATGGCGTATTGAAAAATTACCATTCTCAAGTAAGGATAATGTATACGTCAGGTCATTTATAGTCTCAAAGATTTGTCAGTATACTTTAAAACAATCCTGGGAACAGTTCTATATTGAAGGAGACTGAAGAATCATGAACGCTAGGCGGCGCTGGGGCTGGCAAGCACGTGGCGGAGGCGGTGCCGACGCGGGCTGCTGAGGCGGGCAGAGGGTTGGTGGTGCCTGGAAGCCTGTCACTGGCACGGTCCCAGTGGGGTGCTCGGCAGCGGGCATGTCGCTCGTGGGGCTGAAGAACCATTTCTACAAGGCAAGCCAGCTGGTCAGTGAGAAGGTGGGAGGGGCTGAGGGGACCAAGCTGGATGATGACTTCAAAGAGATGGAGAAGAAAGTGGATGTCACCAGCAAGGCAGTGACGGAAGTGCTGGCCAGGACCATCAAGTACCTGCAGCCCAACCCAAACCTCGCAGGTAAGCTGACCATGCTCAACATGGTGTCCGAGATCCGGGACCAGGTGAAGAACCCCAGCTACCTGCAGTTGGAGGGGCTCCTGAGCGAGTGCCTGATCTGCCACCTGAAGGAGCTGGGCAGTGAGTCCAACTTCGGTGACACACTGCTGGATGTCGGGGAGTCCATGAAGCACCTGGTGGAGGTGAAGGACTCCCTGGACGTAGAGGTCAAACAGAACTTCATTGACCCCCTCCAGAACCTGTGCGAGAACAACCTGAAGGAGATCCAGCACCACCAGTTGGAGGGCTGCCGCCTGGACATTGACTAAAGGAAGAAGTGGCAGGGCAAGATCCCCAGTGAGGAGCTGCGCCAGGTGCTGGAGAAGTTTGAGGAGTCCAAGGAGGTGGCAGAAACCAGCATGCACAACCTCCTGGAGACCAACATCAAGCAGGTGAGTCAGCTCTCAACCCTGGTGGAGGCGCAGCTGGACTGCTACCAGCAGGCCGTGCAGATCCCGGACAAGCTGGCAGAGAAGCCCAAGCGCAGAATGCAGGAAGCTTCCTCAGGCTGCAAGCAGGAGTATAAGCCCAAGTCCCGGGAGCCCTTTGACCTCAGAGAGCCTGAGCAGTCCAACGGGGGCTTCCCCAGCACCACAGTCCCCAAGATCGCAGCTTCGTCTTTCCGATCTTCCGACAAGCCCATCTGGACTCCTAGCAGGAGCATGCCGCCCCTAGAAGAGCGGAGCTGCAAGGTGCTGTACAACTTCGAACCCTAGAACCATGGGGAGCTGGGCTTCCATGAGGATGACGTCATCACCTTGACCAACCAGATCAACTACAACTGGTATAGGGCATGCTGGATGGCCAGTCGGGCTTCTTCCTGCTCAGCTACGTGGACACGCTCGTGCCCCTGCCGCAGTGACTCGCCAGTGCCCCGCCCCTCTGTCCACACTGGGCGGCACCCCCTGCCAGGTCTTCTGCCTTCCACCGGGCTCCTACTGCTAGGATGGTGTCCGAGCCTGCCGGTGCCACCCAGTCCCAGGTCCTCGAGGTACTCCCTGAGCAGGGAGCCACACTTGGGTGGGGGGCTTATCTGGGTGGGTGGGGACGCCTGTTTACTCTGGCACTGACCCCCAACGGTGACAGCTCCCTTCTCTACTCCATTGCGCCAGCCTCCTCCCTGCTGCCCAACTCCTTGCCCAGCTGGCCGAGGCGGGGCTAACCCTAAGGTGCTCTCACAAACACTAATGTTCCACCGCAGCAGCACCCACCTCCGTCCTGACCCCACAGGGACCCGGCCCACTGCCTGCCCTCGAGTCCTGTGGCCTTAATAGGATGAGATCGAGCGTCCCCCTGGGGTGACTCAGAGACAGGACCTTGGTTTTAAATCCTGTCCCAGCCTGGTGCTGGAGATGGGCCCTGGCCCCACTCCAGGGCCACTGCACCCCTACCTCACACATGCACTCCTTCTCCCCAAGGTCAGGGCAGGGGGCCTCACTGCTTCCCCTGCCTGCTGTCAGCTTGCAGCCCGGGGACAGAGGCCAGCTGGGATCTGCCCCAGGACAGAGAACATAGCCTCCTTCAGGGCCCCGCCTCCAAAGCCCCTCCCTCACAAAGCCAAGTACCTTTTCAGCTTTTCAACTGCCCCCAGCCAGGACCATGGAGGCCTGTGTCACTCTAGCACAAGCTGCCACCACCAACCACCCACATACACCCCAGCACACTTCGCACGGGACCACAGCCCCAGCCATGCTGTTGAGGGCCAAGCACAAAGGCTCCAGTGAGCAAATGTTAAAGCTCCTGGTGGCCAGGCCTCCACTTTCCCAGCCGCTACCACCCCACCCTGTGGGAAGTGGCCCTGACCATCTCCTCTAGGCCACAGCAGGCAGCCCCGGGGTCTCCAGGCCCCTGCCCAGACCAGCAGGTCCGCAGCCCCAACATCTGCTTCCTCTGTCACCCGATCCAAAATCGATGAAATGGGGGGGTCCTCTGGACTGGGCCACATTCACATTCCTCTCCCACTGTGGCCCAGCCTGAAGCCTCTGGACCCCAGGCTCTGCTCTGCACCCACCTTGTCAGCAGTACATGAAGGGCACAGACACCCTGGCAGAGATGAGCACACAGCCTTGAACACGGTCCAGGGCAAAGTGAAATGTGTGCCTGAATTTTGTAAACAGAAGTATTAAATGTCTTTCTACAAAAAGAAAAAAAAATCATGAACACTAAATGTAATGTCTGATGTTTGGTGATGTTTGATTGGATTCTCAATTTTTTAAGCCATGATATGATTAGGACAATTGTGAAAATGTGTATATGGACTACATAGTAGACAATAATAATATTAAGTTCCATTGGGTGATGATAGTATTCTGGTTATGTAGGAGAATGCCTTGGTTCTTGGGGGCTGCACACTGAAGTATTTAATGGTGAAGGGTCATTATGTCTGCAGCTGACTCAGATGGTTTGTCCAGAAAATGTATAGACAAACACACATGGAAAGCAAATGTGACAAAGTATTAGCTACTGTGGATTCCAGATGAAAGTTATACAGGTGTTCATTAGACCATTTGAAAATGCTTCCCAGCCATCCTAAGGCTTAAAGAAAAAAAAAGAAAATGTTTAAAATCAAAAGTTGGGGGCAGGAAAAGAGTTACAAAACCTCTGGGCTCATGCCTATAATCCCAGCACTTTGGGAGACCAAGGAGAAAGGGTTGCTTGAGCTCGGGAGTTTGAGACCAGCCTGGGCAACATGATGAAACCTCATCTCTACAAAATATACAAAAAATGAGCCAGGCGTGGTGGCACACACCTGTAGTTCTAGCTACTCAGGAGGCTGAGGTGGGAGGATCACTTGAGCTCAGGAGACAGAGGCTTCAGTGAGCCAAGATTGTACCACTGCACTCAGCCTGTGTAACAGAGCGAGACCCGGCTTCAAAACAAACAAAAGAAACACCTTTGTGTCAGAGTTAAGGTTGCTGTATAATAAAATGCTGGGGTACGGTTCTGGGTCCATTCCACATGAAGATCAGAGGCTTCCACTGGACCCAAAGGAATAATACCAGTCCCTTGTGATTATTCCTCTGTAGGTGTGAAATATGTGTCAGGCCAACTTATTGGATTCAGTTTTAATCTAAAACTCTATACATTGTACCCCCAACTCACAGACTTCAGGTATCCATGAAACACTCTTCTGTCTCCACAGTCTTAATGTGGCCCTAATAAAGCCATCCTTTTGGAGGACTCAGAAAAGCGCGCCCCCTCCCCCCTCGCCCACAACCTCTGTAACGTAATAATTATAGTAGTTAACATTTATTGAGCACTCACTGTGTGCCAGGCATTTTTCAGGTATTGATTCATTTAATCCTCAAAACTCATTAAAGGTAGGTACTATTATAACAAGGCCAAGGAACAGAGATTAAGCAGTTTTCCCAAATTCACGTTATTAGTGGAGCTGGGATTTAAGCTTAGTCTGGCTGTGGAATCTGTGTTCTTAATGTCCATGCTATACTGCCTAAGATTAACCTTTTACTCCAGTTACAGAGATTGTTTTTTTCTCTCTGAAACTGCCCCCAATAAGCCATAACAATAAATTAATCAATTGTCTTGGTTATCTCTTTTGCCCAAATTTATACTTTGAAAAAAATTCAACCATGCCAGAAAGATGAAAGAATAGTACAGAATCCAATCAAAGATCAGGCACTGCATGTCATGTCTTCATTTCCTTTAATCTAAAACATTCCTCTACTTTCTTTGATCTTTCATGACATTGGCATTTTTTAAGAGTCAAAGATAGTTGTCTTGTAAATTGTCCTACAATCTGGATTTCTCTGTTTCCTCATGATGAGATTCAAGTGAAGCATTTTTGGGAAGAATACTGTATAGGCGATGTATCCTTCCTGCCTCGGCATCGCAGGTGACCTGTAACATGAGGTTTGATCACTTGTTGAAGGTGATCTTCCAGGTCTCTCCACTGTAGTTATTTTGCTGGGTGTGGTGGCTCATGCTTATAATCCCAGCACTTTGGAAGGCTGAGACGAGCAGATTGCTGGAGTCTAGGAGTTTTAGACCAGCCTGAGCAAAAGGTGAAACCCTGTGTCTGCTAAATATACAAAAAAAAAAAAAAATTAGCTGGGCATGGTGGTGCAAGCCTATAGTCCCAGGGACTGAATTTGGAGGGTCACTTGAGCCCAGAGGGGTCAAGGCTGCAGTGAGCTATGATTTTGCCACTGTATTTCATTCAGCCTGGGTGATAGAGTGAGACCTTGTCTCGTTTTTTAAGAAAAGTAATTTTTCCCATAGTTAATAAATAATCTGTGAGGTGGTACTTTGAGATCACTGAAGATCCTGTTCTCAGATGTCTTTTCACCCAGCTGTCCATCAGTGATAATCCTTGTCTGAATCAATTTTTATTACTGGTGGTTGCAAAGTGACACTTTTTAAAATTCTGTCATTCCTTCCACATTTATTATCTGGCTTTATTTCATTAAAGAACTCCCCTTCTTTCTTTTTTAATATCATTCTTCATTGATTCTTTTTAATATATTAATTATGTTATAGCTTATTATTGTTGTTATTCTTTTGAATGCTCAAATTGTCCAGATTTGACCAATGCAATCTCTGTTACTTTTTAACCCCACAATCCAGGTTGAACTAAACTATTTTTAATGCCCAGAGTAATTTCTAGTATTTCCCACTCCCAAAAGGAATTGAGAAAGGGCCTCCAGAAGTTGGGGACTTATTCAGACTCTTCTTAGAAGTCTACCTTCTTCCTGTGTACTTTCAGCCCAAAGTGAGACTTTTGAGTTGGGAAGAGATACTTCTGAATTAAACTACTGATCAGTGTCACCCAATTCTAATCCTAACCACCTTTATTCTAGGCATACCATACTCACTGCAATGCTTATCCTTCGGTTGGGCACCTTTGTCCTCCTTCCTATTGGCCTTCTAGTTCCTACCCAACTGTTCAGTCCACAGGCCTCAATAACACCTTTTCGCCCAGCCCTCTGGTAGTGTTGGCCTGCCTCCTTTACCTTCTCAACCGCTTTACCACTAATTTATTGTTCTCTGTTTTCATCTATAGGATCTTACCTAGCCGTATGGCCTGCTGCCTCTGCCAATTTAAAAACAGCATTGAGGCTGTCTGCAAGACAGTCAAGCTGCATTGCAACAGTGCATGTCTGACAAACACCATACATTGTCGTGAGTCCAAATTGCCTGGTGATCAATTGTTACATTATTTTAAGTATTTGTTTTTAAATTTTTTATTTTTAATTGATAAATTTGTAAAGTGATGATATAATTGCTTTATTTTTATTTACTCATTCAGAGTTAAACTCCCTCAATTTCTGAACTATTCCCTTGCTGAGAGTCAGGTTCTCAGTTATTATTAGAAAATGTAATAATAGAATTGTTCCATATTCATAAAGGACCAAGACAAAGGAATGGGAAGACTAGGGAATAACATTAACATCCACACACTGTGTACTGTGCTCTGTGCTTGATGCTTTGCCCCCAGTGATAATTTCTTCATACAGTGCAATGTAGTTTGTAAGCTGGTTTTATATCCATGAGATCTCAAGTACTCTTGGCCTTATAGGACAGATGTAGATCCGGTTTTGTTTTTGTTTTTGTTTTTACAATTTTATAAGAGTACACGTGATGCTATTTTATTTGAAGCCTGAGAGCTTCTGGTTCCATAACCAGAAATTGCTACCTGGCTCTTCTAATGGAATGAGGGATTTTCCAAGCTTAGACCATCCAACTCTGAACGTGCTCTGAATCTCAAACCTTTCTATTCACAGAACAAATGCTCAAGTGCTTTCAGAAGTTTTTCTGTAGATTAGGTTTATTAGCACCAACTTCATAACTTCTAAAATGTGACTGCTTTCATGTCCAGATAGCTTGAAAACTGGTATCTACCAGTAATATGGGGTGGATGATGAATAATGCTTGACTACTTATTTAAAGAAAATGTTGCTTATTTTTCAAAACTTCTTTTTACCAATTATATTCTTCCCTTCTCCCCAAGAGGTGGGCAGAAAAGCACTGGTAATCTCCTTTTACAGATGAAGAAAAACAAGATCAGAGGTGCTAAGTGCTGTACCTTGTGCCAGGTCTTCTGTCCCAATTCTGGGTTCTCCCCAAGCCCATGTTTCTCCTTTCTCACAATCTTTACTTCTTCCTCTGACCCTCAGCACCACCCAAAATACTTTTAATTCTGGAAAATAAAATCAGCTGCACACTGGCACACTTGACCTTCATGCATTCAGAAGCTTTGGATGATTCTGCATCCAAAATATTAGAGATGAAATGAAAGCAAAGTAGGCATCTGACAAAAGTTGCTTTTTCCCTTCTGCATTTTGGGACCTCAAGTAATGTTTATCCAGAAACTGCTGTCATACCATAGATTCATTGTATATTTAACAACATAGGCATACCATCTGGCAAATTAAAAATCTCTTAACCTACACCCTGAATCCCTGCCCAAATTTAAGAAAAGAATTAGGGTGGACACGGTGTTTTTTCCATGTCGCGTCTTCTGTGATGGGGCTACAGTATGTGGGAACAGAGAATGGGGTGGGTGGGTGGAGCGTGTGCCAGATGAGGACCTATCAGCAATGGGAGGGGCTCTCCACATTAGCATCTCCACCCTGCTCCTCTCAGAGGACCGCCTTCCATTGCATTCAGCTGTGATGGTAGCAAGAACACGGGTACACTGAGGACAAGGAGAGAGGGAGCCTTGTGCTCTCTCTTTGCATCTGAGGCAGGACAGCACAGGGTACGGAGCAGTCTGCAGAGAGGCCAGCTCATCAGGTCATCATGGTAGCACTTGTCTTCCACCTTGAGCTTTGACTGAGCACTGGGCAACTGGTCCCTGGGGATCAATAGAATAATCCTAAGCAGACTTACTCTGTGTCACACTATGGAATGTTCCAAGTAGGTGGCCATGTTTTCAAAAGATGTCTTTTCTCCTTTTGTTGTTGCCATTTCGTAGGTTTAGGATTGGGTGTGTGTTTCTCCTCTCTGAATGGCACTCGAATGTTTGCTGACTCCTACTCTGTGTGACTGGGGTGTACAGCTATGGACTGATGCATGCCGTCCCGTCATCTTTCAGGATCAAAGCAGTCTCTTCTTTTTTCACAGCTGAAGAAGCATCTGTAGGGAATCCAGAAGGAGCGTTCATGAAGGTGTTACAGGCCCGGAAGAAGCACACGAGCACTGAGCTGACTATTGAGCCGGAGGCGCCCTCAGACAGCAGTGGCATCAACTTGTCAGGCTTTGGGAGTGAGCAGCTAGACACCAATGACGAGAGTGAGGTTATCAGTGCACTGAGTTACATCTTGCCGTATTTCTCAGCAGGAAATCTAGATGCGGAATCAATGTTGTTACCGTTCATGAAACTGCTCTTTTCTAATGCACAAGATGGAGACAGGCCCCTGAGTATTTTGCAAAACAATACAAAGGGCCCCTCTCTTCAACCTGCATCCAACAACTCAACTTATGAAAGTAAATTGAGAAAGCTGTACTTCCTGGAAAATATGTTAGATACAGAAATACAAGAAAAAATCGATAAAGTTAAAAGGGAAGAAAAAACTGCCATGCTTATGCAGACCAGCCTTCTAGGTAACAAATTTAAACACCAAATATTTGAAAAGAAATTAGAAACTGTCCAACCACAGGAAAACAGCCTGGTAAAGATTCAAAGTGTAGGCAAAAACCTGCAGAGAGTGAACAGAGTCCTCACGGGCCCAAGGAGCATCCAGAAAAGGCACTTCAAAGAGGTGGGAAAGCAGAGTACCAGGAGGGAAGAGGGTGCGCAGGCATTTGTGGAGAGCGCTGCCCAAGAAAAAAGGCTTGGGAGCCCGGTCTCAAGGGAGCTGGGACAGCCTCACATAGAGCAGGGGCCCGAGAAGTTACCGGGAAATGCCATCTATGCGAAGCCTTCATTCACCCAAGAGCGTAAGGTGGCAGTCTCCTCTGTGCTGAAACCCTTCTCCATGGGCGAGCCTTCTGCCTCCACCCCTGCAAAAGCCCTACCTGAGGTCAGAGACAGATCAAAAGACTTAACCCACGCTGTTTTCATTTTAGAAAATGCAAAGGCTAGAGTTAAGAATATGAAGGCTGCTAAACCAATCGTACATTCCAGAAAAAACTACCGCTTTCATAAAATTCACTCCTGTGTGGCCCACAGCACACCCAAGGCCAAAAAGAGTCAAAAGTTGAGAAAGAAAAGTTATCTCGATAGACTGATGCTTGCAAACAGGCCGCCGTTCTCTGCAGTGAACAGCCTCATAAATTCCCCTTCACAAGGGGCTTTTTTGCCTTTAGTAGACCTGAGTCCTAAGGAAAATCCTTTTCCTAAACTATTTGATACTTCAGAACATGTTATAGAGAACACTAATGTAAAGAACACAACTGCAAGAAATGCCTTCAAAGAAAATATTTTTATGGAAAACACTACTATGCCGGAAGGCACCATCTCTGAAAACACAACCTACAATCCTCCTCCTGAGGCAGATTCCCCTGGGACTGCATTCAACTTAGTTAAACGAACTAATCAGACACAATGGGAATACAACAACGTGGGCACTGACCTGTCCCCCGAGCCCAAAAGCTTCAATTACCCGTTGCTCTCATCCCCAGGTGATCAGTTTGAAATTCAGCTAACCGAGCAGCTACGGTCCCTCATCCCCAGCGAGGATGTGAGAAAGTTTATTTCTCATGTTATCCGGACCTTAAAGATGGACTGCTCTGAAACTCGTGTGCAACTGACCTGTGCCAAGCTCATCTCCAGGACAGGCCTCCTGATGAAGCTTCTCAGTGAGCAGAAGGAAGTAAAGGCGTCCAAGGCAGAATGGGATACGGAACAGTGGAAAACTGAGAACTATATTAATGAGAGCACGGAAGCCCAGAGTGAACAGAAAGAGCAGAGGTTGAGTGAGGTGAGGACCACACAGAAACATGAGACCCAGATTTCCCAGCATTTAGTGTATGCCAGGAAAGTGCCCACACAGGAGAACCCGGGACTCCCAGGCCATAGCTTGTCCTGGTCATGTAACTTTGGCCATGATGGTGATCTCCCACTTTGCTCATGTAGAGGGTGAAATAGATCAGTGCACAAGGTGAACTGTAGGTGAGGTGGGGTGGCTCACGCCTGTAATCCCAGCACTTTGGGAGGCCAGGGTGGGTGGATCACTTGAGGTCAGGAGTTTGAGACCAGCTTGGCCAACACAGTGAAACCCTGTCTCCACAAAAATAAAAAAAATTAGCAGGGGTGATGACACATGCCTGCAGTCCCAGCTACTCGAGAGGCTGAGGTGGGAGGATCACCTGAGCCCAGGGAGGTCGAGTCTGTAGTGAACTGTGATCACACCACTGCACTCCAGCCTGGGTGACAGAGTCTCAAAAAAAAATAAAAAAGAACCTGTAAGCTACTTACCTGGAATACTGGGGTTTTGAGAAGTTAGCTTCCATTCTCTCTCTTTTTTTTTAATTGTTCTTTCCTTTTTTTTTTTTTTTTTTTTTTTAGCTCATTAAAGACGTTCCAGGATATGGCTATAACAACAAACTCATCTTGGCAATATCTGTGACTGTAATACTAACAATTTTGATCATAATTTTTTGTCTCATTGAGGTAAGAATAATAATTAATTCAGGTTTTCAGAATGCAGTCCTGTCTTTCTGTGGATTCAGAGCCCACAAACTCAAAACCAAAGCCGCTTTCCCACCTGCTGCTACTTGACATTCTTTTTCAGTCCTTTAAGGCTGAGGTATACTTTGTTCTTTTACTGCAGTGTATATTCCAGGATTTTAAAGGATCCTCACTTTCAGGAGATCTCTGTGAAATGAAACCAAGTTAATCCCACTAGACTATTTTAAGAAGTTGATATAACAGCAAAATTTCTCCCACGTAAAACAATGTCAACAATTAGATGTACTCACCAAGTCACCCCTTACTCTGCCACTCATTTATTTCCTTGTTGCTGAAATGATGAGAGACGTATAATCTCCATCCTCACGGAGTTGTCATCACCCTGGAAAGGAAGGAGACAGCCAATAGAGAGAAGTATTGTCTTGTAGACTTACTAGGTTCACACAGTATCATCCTTCTCCAGTGTGTAAGGCATTGTCTAAATAGGTCCAGTTAAAGCACTACAGGGTAGCCATTTTTTAAAAAAAATTGTTGGCCACATGTTTAAGTTCACAGGGGAGGGGGAATGTCTCATACTCCAGCCCTCCTGAGCCTAGGCCCTCTGTGAGATGTGTCACCATTTCTTGGACACCATGTGAGACATTCCCCCTCGGATCAGAGATGCTCAACCTGCATCAACATATCTAAAGCCTACATCTGGCTACTCTGGGGCGAGTCTTGTTCACAGTGCCCATTCCTGGAGCTTGCCTCTGTTGGCCTTTTGTTCGATTACAATCATGTATTACTTTTCCCAACAGGCCAGTGCTAGCATATTGGAAGAGTGATTTAATAAGCTGGTAACCTTGACGCCATGCTCCCAATCCAAACTTATTTGCCTCATTTACCATTTCTATTATTGTGGCAGCCCTCCATTCCAGCCAGAGCTTCAACTTAACCATACCCCAGTCACACTATCCACATTTCTGCTCTTGTCTGTGTGTTTGTCCATCTAAAATGCCCTTATTTCACTCTGCCTGTGGGAGTCCCATGAATCTCTCCAAAGCCAACTCAAGTTCATCTTTCTGCTTGAAACCTTCCCTGAATAGGCCTGGCGCGGTGGCTCACGCTTGTAATCCCAGCACTTTCATGAGGCTGAGGCGGCAGATCATGAGGTCAGGAGATCGAGACCATCCTGGCTAACACAGTGAAACCCTGTCTCTACTAAAAATATAAAAAATTAGCTGTGCGTGGTGGCAGGCGCATGTAGTCCCAGCTACTCGTGAGGCTGAGGCAGGAGAATGGCATGAACCTGGGAGGCAGAGCATGCAGCGAGCCAAGATTGGGCCACCGCACTCGAGCTTTGGTGACAAAGCGAGACTCTGCCTCAAAAAACAAAAACAAAACAAAACAAAAAAACCACCTTCCCTGAATATTCCAGCCCTCCTGAGCCTAGTCCCTTTGTGAGATTTGTCCCCACTTCTTGGACACCATATGAGAGACTTCAGAGGGCGAAGTGGGAGGACTGCTTGAGCCTGGGAGGTTGAGGATGAAGTGTGCTGTGGTCATACCACTGCACTCTAGCCTGGACAACAGAGCAAGACCCTGTCTTAAAAACAGCTACCACCAAAAACTATCTTGGAATTTGAATAGGATTACCTTAAATTTGTAGATTAATTTGAGAATGACATCTGTACAACATTCTGGGAACATGGTATTTCATGTCATTTATTCATTTCTTGTTAATGTCTTTCAGAAGAGTTTTAGGGTTTCCATCATACAGATCTTACACGTCTTTTGTTACATAACAGATCTTTGTATTTTTCTTCCTAAATACTTCATACATTTGTATTGCCATTGTAAATGGGACTTATTTCCATTTTCTAATTAGTTATTGGTGGTACATCTGACAAGTATTTGACTTTTGTGTGCTGCTCTCTTGAATTTGTTTCCAGTCACTGTACTGAATTCTCATATTACTTCCAGTAAAATCTTAGTTGATTCTCTTAGGCTTCTTTGGCTAACATTTATTGTTTTATATGCAAATAATGATAGTTTTGCCTCTTCCTTTTAAATACTTACACTCTTTCCTTCCTTTCCTTTCTCTTTTTTTCTTTCTCAGGGCCTTGTTGTCACCCAGGCTGGAGGGCAATGGTGTGATCTAGCTTACTGTAACCTCAAACTCCTGGGCTTAGGGGATCCTCCTGCCTCAGCTTCCAGAGTGGCTGGGACTACAGGCAGGCAGTGAAATTTTAAAACTTTTTTTGTAGACACAAGGTCTCGCTATGTTGCCCAGGCTGGTTTTCCTGCCACTTTAGAGCAGGTTTCCTTTTTTTCATACTTTTAAGAGTTTTTTATTAGGAATTGTCCATTGAATGTTAGCTAAAACAGTCAATAAAATGCATTAAGTGTCAGCTGCATGCAAGACCCTAAGTTAGATACAGTCAGCCCTCTTCATCAGCAGGTCCACATCTTCAGATTCAACTGGATAAGGTGAATATTTGAAAAAAGAAACAATAAAAATACAAATAGAAAGTACAGTATAACAACTGTTGCCATTGTACAATAGCTATACATTTTATTAGTGATGACCTAAAGTACGTGGGACCAGGCATGTTGACTGACACTTGTAGTCCCAACACTTTGGGAGGCCAACCTGGGCAGCATAGTGAGACCTTGTCTTTAATAAAAATAAAAAAAATAGCCAGGCGTGGTGGTATGCACCCGTAGTGCCAGCTACCCAAGAGACTGAGGTGGGCGGATCACTGGAGCCCAGGAGGTTGAGGCTGCAGTGAGCTGTGATTGTGACACTGCACTCCAGCCTAAGTGACAGAGGACGATCCTGTCTCCAAGTAAGTAAATAAAGTATATGGGGGGATGTGTGTTGGTTATATGCAAATACTACACCATTATATGTAAGGGATTGAGCATCCACAGATTCTGGTATGGTGTGGGGGTGGTATCCTAGAACCAGTCCCCCGCAAGATAGCAAGGATGACTAAACTGTGGAAGAATCAAAGCTCTGTTGAACAGCATACAATTCCTGTCTTCAAAAATCTTATCAGGTAGATGAGACTTAAAATGAATAAAAGGAATGAATACAGATTTGGAGATAGTGGTTGTTGTGATGGATAATCTTAATTGTGTTTTCTTCCAAAACAGATTCATTCCCACAAAAGGGCATCACAGGAGGATAAAGGAGACTCATCACGGATTCATTCCTACAAAAGGGCATCAGAGGAAGATAAAGAAGACTCATCAGTGTCAGGCCCCTGAGCCAAGTTAAGGCATCCAGATGGCCTGGAGCCATGTTTTTTAAATTTTATTATTAAGTATTGTTTTTTTACTGGTTAAATCAATGATAACATTCTTTACTTTGTGGTTGTGTTCCTCAAAATGAGGATTTTTAACAATAATAAAAATAAAGCTTGTTAGATCATTTTTAATTTTAATAAATTGGTTCCTAAAGATTTGACTAAAGAGAAAACTAGGCCAATCTAAGCAGAGTCCAAATGAAGTAGAAAGTCCATAGAGAACGAGGAAAAAAGGAAATTGTTGAACCACAGACACAGTAAAAGGAAAAAACTGGGCAGGTGCAGTGACTCACACCTATAATCCCAGCACTTTGGGAGGCTGAGCTGGGTGGATCGCTTGAGCCCAGGAGTTCAGGCAACCTGACAAAACCCCCATCTCTACAAAAAATATACAAAAATTAGCCAGGCGTGGTGGTGTGCACCTGTAGTCCTATCTACTTGGTAGGCTGAGTTGGGAGTATCACTTGAACCTGGGAGGTTGCAGTGAGCTGAGGTTGAGCCTGAAAATAGGTTTAGAAACTTAGAAACCTTTAAACCTATAGACTTAGAAACTTAGAAGCTTAGAAACTTAGAGACTTAGAAATTTATAGACTTAGAAGCTCAGAGACTTAGAGACTTAGAAACTTAGAAGTTTAGAAAAGCCACACCAGGTGGCTATCTAAAAGCACCCACCCAACGACCAGGTGGCCATCTAAAGCACCCGCCTGATGTCCGTGTGGCTATCTAAAACACCCACCCATATTCCTGGAACTCAAACAGAAGAACAAGTCCGGGAAATACCCCGCGCGGGTTCAAACCAGGTTCAAACCAACCAATTAAAGTAAGACATCTCGCTCAGGCCATAACCTGCTCCAATCATCTTGCGCCTCAAGCTTTGTAAAATTTTGTGGTTTTTTGCCTTTATAAACTGTAACAAGCATTCGGGGTCCTGTGGCCAACTTCGGACATAGGACCCTAGCGCGCTAGCAATAAATCTCTCCACTGTGACTTCCGTGTCGAGTGGTCTCTCGCGACGACCCCTGCCCAGGAAGGAATCTAAAAACTAGGTTCCTACAAGCCGTTACTCCCCAACCTGGGGGGTGACAGAGTGAAAGAGTGAGACCCTGTCTTAAAAAAAAAAAAAAGGAAGAAAGCAAAGAAAAAAATGTGTATATATATATATTTTTTTTGAAACAAGGTTTGACTCTCACCCAGACTGGAGTGCAGTGGTGCAATCTCAGCTCACTGCAACCTCTGCCTCCCAGGCTCAAGCGATCCTCCTGCCTCAGCTTCTCAAGTAGCTGGAACTACAGGCACGTGCCACCAAACCTGTGTTTTTTGTAAAGAAGGGGTCTCAATATGTTGCCCAAGCTGGTCTTGAATTCCTGGGTTACAGTGATCCACCCACCTCGGCCTCCCAAAGTGCTGGGATTACAGGTGTGAGTCACCATGACTGGCCAAAAAAAAGTTGAAGTGTTAAAAAGAAAACTCACCAAGCCATTTTGCATATTTTTCTGGAAAGATACAGAGAGATATATATGTGTGTGTGTGTGTGTGTGTGTATATATGTATACATGTAGAGAGAGAGACAGATAGATTTGGACTATATACCTTATAGTATAAGGTATAACTTTGTTGCAGAAAGGACAAAGGGAACTGATTAGGGTTAAGGCGCATATATGTATGTGTATATATGTGTGTGTGTATATATATGTATATATATGTGTGTGTTTATGTTTTCCCAATTCCTCACACCACTCCTTTTTATTAATTTTTATTGAGATGTAATTTATACACCATAAATTCACCTATTTAGATAAATGCAGAATTTAGTGGGTTTTAGTATAGTATTCACAAGGCTGTACAGCCATCACCACTATTTAATTCCAGAACATTTTCATCATCCCAGAAAGAAGCCTCAGAATCACTGACCCTACTCCCCATTTCCTCTCCCATTTCCTGGCAAGTATTTACTTACTTCCTATGAATTTTCCCATTTGGGACATTTCATATAAATGAAATCATAAAATACATGATTTCACTAAATAAGACTTTTGTGTGTGACTTCAAACAGTTAAGTAGGCATAACATAACATTTAAACGCTAATCACTGCCCCCTCCCCCTACCTTTTTTTTGAGACAGGGTCTCACTCTGTCTTCCTAGCTAGAGTGCAGTGGTCTGATCACAGCTCACTGCAGCCTTAACCTCCCCAGGCTCAGGTGATCCTCCTACCTCAGTCTCAGAAGTAACTGGGACCACAGGCACACACCACCACACCTAGCTAATTTTTGCATTGTTTGTAGAGATAGGATTTTGCTATGTTGCCCAGGCTGATCTTAAACTCATGGACTCAAGTGATCCTCCTACCTCGGCCTCCCAAAGTACTGGGATTGCAGGCATCAGCTACCACACCTGGTTATCTTTAACTATTTTTAAGTGTATAATTCAGTAGTGTTAAGTACATTCACATTGTTGTACAACAAATCTCCAGAACTTTTTCATCCTCCCAAATTGAAACTCTGTACCTATTAAACACTAACTCCCTATTCTCTCCTCCCAGCCCACGGTAACCACCTTTCTACTTTGTTTCTATGAATCTGACCACTCTTAAGTACCTCATGTGAGTGGAATCACACAATATTTCTCCTTCGGTAACTGGCTTATTTCACTTAGCATAACGCCCTCAAGCATTCTCCATGTCAGAATTTTCTTCCTTTCAAGGCTGAAGAATACATCCGTTATATGGATCAATCACATTTGTGTTATCCATTCATCAGTTAATGCACATGGAGGTTGTTTCCACCTTTTGGTCATTGAGAATAATGCTGCTGCATACATATGTGTATACGTTTCTGCATGATTATATGTTTGCAATTCTTTTGACTATGTATGTATGAATAAAATTACTAGGTCATATAGTAGCTCTAAGTTTAACTTTTTGACTAACCGCCAAAGTATTTTCCATAGTGCTACATGGTTTTACTTTCTCCAGTTTCCCAAATCTTCTCCAACACTTTTTATTTTTATTTTTTTTAAACAATTACACCCATGCTAGTGAATGTGAAGTGGCATCTCATTGTGGTTTGGATTTTATTTTAATTTTTTAAATCAAAAAAATATACTTGGCCTTAGGTGGTGGCTCACACCTGTAATCCCAGCATTTTAGGGGGCCAAGGTGGGTGGATCACCTGTGTTAAGGAGTTTAAGACCAGCCTGGCCAACATGGTGAAACCCCGCCTCTACTAAAAATACAAAAATTAGCTGGGTGTGGTGGCAGCTGCCTGTAATCCCAGCTACTCAGGAGGCTGAAGCAGGAGAATCACTTGACCCAGGAGGTGGAGGTTGCCATGAGTTGGAATCGCGCCACTGCACTCCAGCCTGAGAGATGCTGTCCAAAAAAATATATATATATATACACACACACACACACACATAAAAGTGTGTATATATATATACACTCCAGCCTGAGAGATGCTGTCCAAAAATATATATATATATACACACACACACACATAAAAGTGTGTGTATATATATATACACACACACTTTTCTAGTATAATAAAATTATTTTACAAAAGAAGTCCATTACTAACACACACTTGCATGCAAAGCACAAGACACATCTAAGGACCGGGTGTGGTGGCTCACGCCTGTAATCCCAGCACTTTGGGAGGCCAAGGTGGGCAGATCACTTGAGGTCAGGAGTTCCAGACCAGTGTGGCCAACATAGTAAAACCCCATCTCTACTAAAAATACAAAAATTAGCGAGGCGTGCTGGTGGTACCTGTAATCCAAGCTGCTCAAGAGGCTAAGGCAGGAGAATCGCTTGAGCCCAGGAGATAGAGGTTGCAGTGAGGCAAGATCCCGCCATTGCACTCCAACCTAGGCGACAGCAAGGCTCCGTCTCAAAAAAAAAAAAAAGTACTAAAATTAAGTTGCCAAGAATTTACATGTAGTCCTTTCTACATATAAGACATAAATACCTGACACTTGATTAATTCCCTTCATTCTTCAGCCAGCCTCCCAGGACAAGTCTGGCAACGATGCTGACCATCGGGCAAAAGTAATTACCTTTTTCAGTTTATGTTAGGACAATCTACATGGGTTTACATTTGGCTTAATATAATACTACCCTACTTCTCCAATAAGTATTTAAGCATTTATTTAAAAAAACAAATTTTCTGGGCGCGGTGGCTCAAGCCTGTAATCCCAGCACTTTGGGAGTCTGAGGCGGGTGGATCACAAAGTCAGGAGATCGAGACCACCCTGGCTAACACAGTGAAACCCCGCCTCTACTAAAAAATACAAAAAACTAGCCTGGCGAGGTGGTGGGCGCCTGGAGTCCCAGCTGCTCGGGAGGCTGAGGCAGGAGAATGGCGTAAACCCGGGAGGCGGAGCTTGCAGTGAGCTGAGATCCGGCCACTGCACTCCAGCCTGGGCGACAGAGCGAGACTCCGCCTCAAAAAAAAAAAAAAAAAAAAAAAAAAAAAAAAAAAA